TAATTTGCAACAAGTATCGAAGTATTCTTCAAATATAGTGTACAATATACTGCTTAGTACGATTACCAATAAAGTGAACTGAAACCTACATTGGCTTATTCCAGCTTTTAACATTGGCATCCCTTGCGGGGAGTTTCTTGTGTGCGCTCCGCTTTTGGTTGATTTGCATACAAAAGACATCATTAGCCATCGCCGACTCTTTTGCGTGCAAATTAATTGCAAAAGTAAATGTTATAACTACGCTGCTTCAAATTTGTTAACTTTGAAGCTATTTACATATGTAAACTGCAAACGGCACTCTTTACTGTTCGCATGAAAGCTACCTACATACATATATATATAAAGCGGCTTATATGTATACCTGCTATACACAAAAGAATATTCGGGAACGCTAACTGGACTTCTTCGCCGTCCACGTATATATATCAGCAGTCAAACCAGCTACTAAGAAGTTTTTTTTAAGGTTAGCTAACCACACCGTTCTCTGCAAAGATGAAGACTCTCATCAAACAACAAACTGGCGCAGCAAATTTACTTGTAAATTTTATGTCAAATTTACGCAAAACTGCTAAAAATAGACAAACCAAAGGGTTTCTAACCGGCCGCCGATCACTGCTTTGCCAGTATTGGGAAAAATACGTCAAAATCTATGACGAAGTCTCAAACGCTGCTGACGATGCCAGCACTATTGAGCTGGCACAGCCGGCTTTGGACGCGTACAACGAAATCGAGCGCATCTACACCGAAACATTGGGGGAGCTGTACGATATGATTGAGGCAACGAGCTCCCCTATCATTACGGAGTCACCAACAATTCCTGCAACTGCTGCGTATCCGGTTCATAGCCTTCCACCAATTAAACTACCACCTTTCGATGGGTCATTTTTGCGCTGGTACCCCTTCAAGGATTTATTCACGTCGATCGTCATCAAAAATCGAAACTTGTCAGACACGCAGCGCTTGCAGTATTTAAAGGACAGTCTCATTGGCGAAGCGAAAAACTCACTGGATAACATTGCTACAACAGACGGTAACTTCACTGTCGCCTGGTGCTTGCTGGGGCGCAAATTCGACAACAAACGCATCATTATCAATGCACATCTAACCGAAATTACAAATTTGCAACCGATACGAAGAGAATCCGCCGCCAATTTGCGATCATTGATTGACAGTGTCACCGCATCGTTACGTGCATTAGAACAACTTGGTCGTCCGGTAGCTCACTGGGACGACTGGCTCATCTACACTGTTGCACACAAGCTTGACAGTGCCTCTGTACGTGCGTGGGAGCTGTCTATCTCCTCCAATAACACACTTCCAACTTTCGATGATTTACGTATTTTCATCGAAAATCAAACCAAATCATTGGAAGTCGTGCAAAGCTTCGCAGATTCTAAACCAAGTAATTTACAGTCGAAGGACACTACAACTACCAAATCCAAACAACACGGTTTGAAAGGGTACCACACTACTGAAGCGAGTTGCCCTTGCTGTTCTAGCAAGCACTACATCTTATTTTGTACGGACTTTCGTAACCAAACGCCCCAGCAGCGATACAAGACAGTACAGCAAGCAAGCCTGTGCATGAACTGTTTGCGCTCTGGTCACAAAGCTCATCAGTGCTCGTCAAAACGCCGTTGTCAAAAATGCAATTCGGCTCACCACACTATGATTCATGAGTACTGCGCAAACAACCAACCGACTCCACCTGCGACCATGAAATCTTCGTCAGCAAGCAACCAAAGTCCTATATCCACATACAACGCATCCATCACTCAGCAGACCTCTTCGGTTGTTCCTCTGGTGCTACTCGGAACAGCGTTAGTCGAGCTGCATTCTAACACCGGTCACACCATGGTACTACGCGCTTTGTTAGATAGCGGAGCTGAAGCCACCTTTATCAGTGAATACGTAGTATCCCAGCTTAAACTATCGAAGTCGCCGCTGCGTATTCCATTAAATGGAGCTAACGGTCAAAGGTTGGCTACAACCACTGGCTCGGTGGAGTTTTCGCTACGTTCAACTATTTCCACTTTCGAAATGCGCTGCACTGCTCTAGTATTGCCACGCGTAGTAAACCTGAGTCCATCTGTGAACTATCATCCTGAACACTTTAAGCCGTTTTGGGACCTTAAACTTGCCGATCCTAAATTCGCCATATCAGGAGCTATCGACGTCATTTTGAGTGCTGGTGACTACGCCACAATCATGCTCAACGATATCAAGCGTAGCCCCAACACTAATGTCATCGCACAAAATACGCAATTAGGATGGGTTATTTTCGGCAGCCTACCAGAACGAGGTAACTCATCAATGAAGGCCGCTTATGACTCCTATTGCACTAGACTGGAGCTAGATGTACTTCTTCGTCGATTCTGGGAGCAGGAAGAGGTAGCCGTGCAACAAACCTTAACTAAAGATGAGATATTCTGCAACGAGTTCTTTGAATCTACTACGCAACGCACTGAGACAGGTCGGTATGTGGTACGACTCCCGGTCAAAAATGAATCGGGCCTTTCTCAACTTTCATCAACACGAGAGGCTGCACTATCGTTATTAAGTACCATGGAACGCCGTTTAAATCGAGATGCCTCAGTACGCAAACTATACCACGACTTCATGTCCGAATACTACAAACTTGGTCATATGGAG